TATATATATATTGGTCAATTTACCAATGTAGCTACCATTCCTCCTACCTGATATTAAGTATCTTTTATGTGTTCAAGCTGTACATCAAATTATTACTTAAATGATCCTATATAATTTAACAGAATGATTTCATCTCATCATCTCCTAGGTTCGAATCTCAACATTGGCAAGATTTTCGACACTAGTTTGTCAGCTAGATCGAGTTCAGACGCAGTCTGGAGGAGAATTCTCTCGGCGGACTGTTCTGATCGTTAGTCTTGCGTGTTTTCTGCTATCAGCACCAAGTGAATGACAGAGCAGTACCCTAACAAACGGGCCACGGATCGCGCGAGATCTTTCCGTCCTTTCCCTCGTCCTATCGTCACCCCAGCATGCACACACATTTACATGCGCTACACTACCAAACATGCCTAGAGAACGGTCGAAAGCCCGGTTGTGTGGTGCTCCGCTTACATCCTGTTGAGGAAATCCCGATAAGCCGACGGTAGGTCAGATCCAGTCCCTGGATGTCGCCATCCAGTAGGGCATTGACAAGGCCACCTACCGAGCACACACATGCACTGCACTTGTGGAACTACGGGCCTTAGCAGTTGACGCACCCGTAGTAACTAGTTATCAACAAAGTCGCAAAGCTGCAGTTCCTACAGCCTGCTCTTAACATTTTTTACGTGAAAATTGTTTCATGAAAAGCTTCAACCTTCAAGCTGTACACTTAGCCATTCCTTAAACGATTCTACATCAATTATCTCACCATCGATGTCCTTCTTCCGGTGCGGGCTCCTGCTGAGCGCCTCCTGCAGGCAGCTGTCCGCCTGCTCCACGTCGTCCAGCTCGAAGAGCGCGCGCGCCTTGAGCAGCCACGCGCGTAGGCAGTTCTCGTTGACCTTGAGAGCCCACTCGCAGTCGTCCAGCATGCGCCGGTGCAGGCCCAGGCGGAGGTGCGTGACGGCGCGGCTCACGTACAGCGCAGCGCAGTCCTTCACCTGGTCGATGGCGCGCGTGTAGTGCAGCAGCGCGTCGGCGAAGTCGCCCTCGGCGAAGGCGGAGTCGCCCGCGCCGCGCTCCTCGCGCGCCGCCGCCTCGCGCTGCCGCCGCTGCGCCGCCCGGGCGCGCGCGTCGCGCTCCACGTGCGCCATGAACGCGTCTGTAACACGCGCCCCCACGGCCTCAACAAGGAGCTCCACATTTGCCATGAACGCGTCTGAAACACGCGCCCCTACTGCCTCAACAATGCGCTCCACGTGCGCAATGAACGCGACTGAAACACGCTCATTGAGCCACAAAAACACTGGCAAGACCTATAAAATAATGATACCAATTTTTTTATGAAGATTTGTCCTCCGATATCGTAAACGACGTTAAGTAGTAGAGGTCGCATGTTCAGTAAAATTACAAAGTTTTCGAAAATTGCAAAAGTGCGATATTTTGGGGCGGTGTGCTACAACATATGGAAGATTGTAATTTATCCCTTCATGAAATCTCTTCAATTAAGATAAGACTTGAAATAAAGTCATGTTCAATTTTTCGAAAAATTGAGTGTGTTGGGGTAATTTTGAGTTCTTTAAAGGTCAAGTAAAGTTGTCCGCACAAGAATTGATAGGTAAAATTGCATCTTCCCAACCGTCCAGATGAACTTGGACACCCATCGAAGAGTTCGAGCTTGAACGGCCGGAAAGGGACCGTAAATGGTGCCTGAGGTGAACATTCTAATTCAGTAGTTTGACAGTGTTACAAATTCAGTGTTAAAAGGTAGTATAATTGTTGCTAAAATGCTAAATATTTCCTGGTCTACTGATAAAAATTCTGCACCTCCACTCGAAAACCCCCGCTCAGAAATATTTTTTCTTCGTGGCGTACGCGCAAGCAAATCTCTCCTTCAGCAGTGAATGACGACGATATTTCCGCCTCACGTAAGCAATGTAGGCCTCCGCCCCGGTAACAGCGTCTTCCCCTAACATGGTAATTTGCGCCAATCACATTGGCACTAAGGTTCTGTAGCGATTGGTCAACGCCCCCTCCCCCCCCCCCCCNNNCCCCCCCCCCCCCCCGGATCGAAGGATGTCATGTTTGCCTGGACGGTTGGGAAGAAAGAATTCCATCCGCCAATTCTTCTAGGGGGTGAACTTCACATTATTTTGAAAAAAGCGAGTATATTTCGCGTATTTTGTGCCTGAAGTTTGTGCAATTTCTCAAAAAATTATTTTCCCAAAACCGAACCAGACTTTTTCATTAAATTTCTCCTCGTATGTAACAACAGACGGAAAAAATATGGCGCGAGTCTCATTTTAGGCAATTTCTCCGAATTGTCGAAAATAGAAAAAGTTGCGAGTCGGAAATATTGGATTGAGACAATAACCTTTTTAAGCATCGGACCGAGTGCGAACCACGCTTGTGTAGCGTAGTGGTATGGCTGACCAAGAGTTAATTCGGAGGTCCTGACCTTGAGTATTGGTGAGGAAAATAATAATATAGCAGAGCAGTTAGAAATAACGAAAGATTGTAATGTTGTCGCAAGACGACTTGAAGTTGTTACTTTGGGGGATTGAAACGTTATTTGGAAAAGAAGCTCTCCAAACCACCTCGTAACCCTGTAAGGGGATAACTTACATGTTATACATATTTGTTAATTTTACATTTATTTTTACGTTTATTTGTTAATTAACTATATATACTATACATATTTGTTAATTTTATCATTAAATGTATACATTCTCCTTGCAGTTAGGTTTATTTAATACAAAATTGTCATAAGTAAATCACTAGTGCTGCTACACCAGGACATATTTTTTCGCATTATTTGTAACGACTTCGCAACATTATACTGTTACATTAACCTACAAAAGTGTTTTCAACAAGCAAAATGTTTTTCCACGCCGAAACTCGAACTCCCAACTAGTCCAACGTCCAACTAAGTAACTCGCTTTACTGCTAAACTATAGAGTCACACTGAAGCATTTACTTGTGCCGACGCTTAAAAATCTAATTCTCTCCCATTATCGCCCACTAGCAATTTTCGAAAATTCGATGTGTTCAATGAAAATGAGACCTTAGTAATTCTTTTAAGCCACCCTTGTTTTATTCGTGGAAAAATAATAGAAGAAAATATTTGCAGCGGCTTTTGAAAAATGTTTCTTTTATAAATTGCATTAATTTCAAACAAAAATTACGCAAAAACTACTCATATTTCGAAAAAGTTGTTCTTGATCCTTCTTAAGGAACTGATAATTTATAACAGATTTTGTTCAAGGAAAAGTTCTATCTTCAAGTTTGTAGTTTTGAATTGTTAACTTTTTGCAATTGTAAATTCAGAGTTCGCCGGAAATGGGACAAGCAGCACATTTTTGGCCTTCCCTTGATACACTTGAAGAGAAAATTTAAAGAAATAGTTTGAGCCATTTATGTTGATGATGAAAATAATTGAAAATATCCTGTATTTGATGCAAAATTACTCGAATACTACTCATATTTTCGATAAATTGTGCCTGACGTTATTTTAAGATCTGTCTTTCATCAATAGATTTCATCAATGAAAAAAAAAATCGATCTTCAATACTGTAGTTGTGGGATGCCCCCGAGAAAAAAGAGTATACATTTTTGAAGTTACGTTTGCTGCAGCCCCGGATTTCCTTCCCCCACTCCTTTGCTAACATTGCTTGAATTAAGAATAAATGATAGTGACGAGCGTTGTAAACAAAATCTGAAAACGAGAAATGTTCTCTCCCGTGTAATAGAAACTATTTTACATCAAAAAACGAAAAAAAAATTTGGTTTTTTTGTCAAAATAGGTAAACTCCCCACTTCTCTCGCAACTAGCGGAGGGAGGGCTCAAGAAAACGTGCGAAAGAAATAATGCATCCTTATGATTGTGAGAACACCGCGCTGCGTTAGTTTTTACCGGAGCAGCGAGGGCTGCAATAGAGATTCTTTGGGGCAAATACCTGGAGACTGAGTTTGCGAAGTGTCGTCATAACTGCTGGGTTGCTTGTTGATGACCGTTTTGTCAAACTTCTTCTTCACTTTTATGTCGTCCTCTTCGTCAGTGTCTTCGTCCGCCTCTTCGTCGGTCTCCGAGCCCTCGAGGTACGAATCCGCTTCACGTTCAGCTTTGGCAGCTTCGTCTTCGTCTTTGGAGCACAGGCCCTTGACGAGCCTCTCTGCAACACACACACACAACAAGACATTGTCTGCGGCAGCGCCTCTCGAAAACAATGTGCTAGATAAATAGAAAATACCTATTTCGTCCACTTTCTTCTCAAATCGGTCAAAATCTGGATCCATGAGGTACTTGGTGAGCTGCGCGATCGATAGGTCTTGCGTTGTTTGGAGGCGTTGCTATGATGCCACGCCCCCTCCCCCACCCTCGTCCTCCAGGTGCCCACTTCGCTCCGCTTGTGATTCAGGATGAAGCTAGTGCTCCCTCAAAATCGCCCAGACTTTCTCGTACTAGTTAGTTTTCATATCTCCTAAATCTAGAATATTTTTGCCCCACACTCTTCTCAGCTGCTATCTTTTGGTACCTAAAAGATCTTTTAAAATGTCTAAATATGTTTATATAAAATCAAGAACAAGTTGCTCTGACAAGAATGTGTCTGTGTAATGTTTATAAATTGCTAGAAATGTGCATTTTTCCGGCGTGAGAAATCTTTCAAAAAAAATTACTATCGAGTAATTTTTGAAAAAACAATAACAAAAAAATACCCCGGAATGAAATATACCTCATACCAAAGACTAAACATTAACACTATCCGTTCTATAAATTTGAAGAAATAATTTGGGACCGGTTTTGAGAAAATGGCGTTTAAGCGTTTCTGAAAATGTGAAATTATGAGCTCTTTTTCAAAAAAACTTTTGAGTTTCCGAGATCCTTTATATGACATTATTTAAAGTACTTGAACTCGTAAATAAAATAATGTGAACTAATTGCTCCTAATATATATATATATATATATATATATATATAACGACGTGGTAGAGACAAGTTAATAAATACAAGTTAGAATAACTAACCGATGACGAATGGAAAAGAGAACTAACACGGGGAAGTCTGTGCATTCTTGTAGCTACCAACAGTATCTTTAAACTTTGGTAGATTGGGCTAAATGAGTCAATATATGACATTAACGCTTGATTGCTCTATCTTTTGCTTTACAAATATGCAATGTTACTTTCCGTAAACGTACGTATATACGGAGTAATATACATAGTATAGGGAAAGTTATGCATTTGCTACGGAAAATCGTTCGAGATTTCCGGAAATATACGTTTTAGGTCCCTGAAACCGAAAAGTGTTTTATCAAACCGTCGCCGTCCGTGCCGTCCGGTGTATGTGGAACAACACTACGCCTAAACATTTGATAGGATTTTTTCCAAATTTAAGAAAAACTCGACCATTTGACCTGAATCGAAGCCTTGCAAATTGAAAAAATTATTCTGTAGTTTTTGGGGTACTTGATATCATGGCCCCTGTGGACATTTTTAAAATTTTCTCAAAAAACTGCTCCAAATTTTTATCTTTATATTACTGTAAGAAAATAGAGTAACATACAACTTTACAATAACAAAGGGGTGGCGTAATGTCGATTTTCACGGTTAACTCTGTATTTGCGAAAATTTCAAAGTTTTTTTCGGGATCTTTCTCACAACTACAAAATTAAAGATAAGAGATTTTCCTTCAAAATTAAATTGTTTGTCCACTAAATTTTGTTCTTCATTAAGGTGAGGTGACACTGTTTGAAAATTTTTAGTAGTTTTTCATAACAATATTGCCTGCAATTTGTGAAAAAACAATGTTACCTCATAGCACATAAAATACAAATGATAAAAAGGTAACGAGTACATACATCAATAGCCCACCCTATCTCTT